TTTCTAACGACAGCATTGCTTATACGGTTGTCCCAGGATATACGAGCAATCATTCGGAGACACCGGTGATCGAAGACTAGTAACCTACGGAAGTCTTCTACTCTTAATGGCCATGTTTCGCATCCATATAGTAGGACGGAGCGAACTGCTGCACAGTACACTCGTCCTTTGGTTAGCGAGCGGATATCTCGCCTGCGCCATAAGTGACGCAGTTTGGCAAAAACCAATCGAGCCTTGTGTATCCGAGCTGAGATTTCGTCAGTCACCAGGCCATCAGCACTGATGAGACACCCCAGATACGTGAATCGGTCTACACGCTCGACTACTTCACTCCCTATCAGTTTGTTGATGGAGATTTAATTAGAAAAAATTTAGGGAGAAAAATTAAACTATAAAGTAGGACTGTTTATAATTTGGCAATTCAGCCAGAATATTCCTCTCTTATTTCATACACTTTCGAGTTGAGCATTAGGCGTGCAGTGTTAGACACAATAGGTTGATTTCCCTATGAACTGTAATAAAATATCTGATAGAGCTTTATAACAAGACATTACTTCTGCATCTGTACAAATAAACCAAGTAATTGTGAGCTATAATTATAATACCCATAAACAGTAGGTTATTTTGGCTAGCATTTACTACCGATTATCATAAACTAATGACAACTATCTATTTACTCGACCTATGACTATGTCTACAGACATCCGTATTATAAATTGATGTAACCTTCAATTACACATTTTGTATACAACTTGTGTTTCATATTATCAACAACTCTGCTTCATATATGCACTCGCAACAATCTATGAGTTATGACTTTTCAAATAGGGGTTTCTTCTTTCTTGAAAACGCTGTTCCTACTTTTTTTCAATTGGTACGGACTCTGTAATCATTTTCAAAATAAATTACCATTAAATGGTCCCTTAAAAAATGAGTATGTGGTGATATTTTATCGAGTTCAAGTAGGTTCTTAACTTATTGTCTTCGTGCTGATTAATACTTTCACAAAATGGTACTTGTGACATACATGAATATTATGGACACAGACTTCTGTTCACCAATTTTTCGGAACAGATTATCTTGCCATTTAGAGTTTATTTTCTTATTAAGAAGATGAAAATGACTGCATTTTGATACATTGTTTTCTGATACTAATTTTCATTTCCGGATAGCTTTTCTTCATAGTAATTTATAAGTTCCAACATTATACTGATTATCCAAATTAACTGTGGTAGACTGTATACACGTTTTTAAAATAAATATGAATCAAAGCTATACTAAATAGATAATATGAAAATATGGCATCAATTGATTGCCTTACTAAAGTCCTGATGTTATACAACGTCACTAGATGGTAATTCGGATAAAAGTGTAGCATTCTAATAGCCAGAGCATATTATTTGAAGATTGAAAGTTTTCTAACTGATGGATGATGGGATATCAGAAACATCCTACAGAACTCAGAGGTAAGGCAATATTTGATTGATAATTGACGCACAATAATATTAATTCATGATGTCGTGATTTCACATCAGCTGCTACAACCATATATGTAATAGAGTGTAAAAATGAGGTATTATGTAACGCGAAGCCAGTGACAATGATGATGGAAGGAATTACAGTAACAAAAGTTGACAATGATATCACTGATATTAACTATTGAACTCACGTTGTGTAGATCATCCGACTGCATCACAAAGCAAGCCATAACTTGAAATCTTTAGGGTAAAAGGAAAAAAGAAAGACAAACGGACATATGGAGTCGGAAAGCGAAAGAGGCTACCGAAAGGATGCACAAAACTTGTCAAGAACTAGGAAAACAAAGCTCAGGACAGTATGGGTTGGAGATTCATGGTCGGCAGTCTTTATGCCAGGAGCAGTGACAGCTTTTGACTAGTTGCCAAAACTGAATGGGAATTCTGGCGACGCATACTTTGTTATAAATGATCAGACTGCTTCAGATAACATAAAATTGTTCTCGTCTAGGCGAACAATTTACGTACTTATAATAGTCTGTTTACTTTTAGATCTGAATCACCATGAGGCTTTAGAAGCATCTAGTAATTTATCTATATTTGATGGGTATGTAAATAAATATGACAATTTCCCTGCCAGATGACACACTACAACTTAGTTTCGAAATAGAATATACTGAATTTCGTCAATATCACTGTTGATGAGGTGAGAGTAACACACCAGTAGTCAATTAGTATGAGTTTGACTCCACTGATGATGTAAAAGTAGTGCGTATGTATATTTTTAACAGATATCATCACATTTAATATGTATTTTAAAGTTCAAATAATTCTCAACCGACAAACACGATGCCCTAACATTCATCTCCACCAGTAGCTTGAGTTCGTTCGGAATTACCAACAAGGTAGAATATCCATATCAATTTATCTTTGAAAACTATCAAAATGTGTTTATAAAATGATTGACAGCGGTTTGGCTCTAACACTTATAGTAGACTAGTATCAATCAATGACTAAATTATTCGACCCATCAAGCCAATTATCTTCATTCTACCACATGGAGTATGTAGCAAGTAGAACTTAGTTTAATTTTTGTACATGAGAATACAAGCTGACACAAAATCATCAGCAAGAACGCCAAATTCACCAGTTAGCTCTTTTCTATAACCAGTCGTCTGAACCAGTAAATACGTGAAAGTCCATCAGGTCCAAATGCCTTCCTCAGTCAGCGTTACCTGTTGACCAGACTGTGACTTCACAGGGGCGACCTGTATTGTAATTTCAAGTAGCTTGTTAAATCGGGTATTAAAATCGTCTGTTACCTTCAAGCACCTGGAGGCCATAAAGTCTTCAGTCCAACTCATCTACTCAACAGCGGTGCAGTAAGAAACGAAAAAGGACAGCAGTGCGACATAATATATTACAGTGTTCGTCGACATGAATCCAGTCAAGTATCTACTCTGCTTAAGGACTTAGTGCTATGCAAACACTGACATTTTCAAGAGGAGCTGCATATGTGTGTCGACATACACGATGTGTGCAATGTTTTTGAATCACCAGATCAGTTAAGTTAGGCCAAGTGAATGATCATGACAGGATTCTGTATGAGTGCTTTGCAGACAGCTTACAGTATTGACATAAGATCCCAAAGTCTTAGCTAGTGACAACTTCCGGCTTCCCAGCCGAACCCGACAACCATATCAAGGTGGGATTCCGTAAAATGAAATAACTCTTCTAAATTTAGTTGATTAAGACTACTCTTCCGTTAGTATTCCCATTAATTTCCATTTGATGAGTTGATCCAAAGTGTGGCTGATGCGATTTTATGACAGTTCCTGTGTAGTTTTAGTTAATACGAACGCCTACATTGAGTACTCGAAGATTGAAAGCTGAAAACATTTAGAATTGAGATATGGTTGTATCTACTAAATTTCGAGATTTGTCTTCATGAGAAAGTGACTCAACCGATAACTATTAGTATATACCTTAAGCAAGTTTACTGCTTTGTAACTTGTCGCAATATTCTTAATTCCGAAAATTCAGGTGACAATACGACAAAACAAGTCAAAAAACATATTCCAAAGCTCACATTTATTATGGAAACATCATTTGTATATGGTTCGGAAGATCCGTAATTGTAATAAACTTGGTAGACTCCATTGAGAAGCCTCTATTTGTTCAGAAGGGATGTTGTTTTAATAATAATTATCATAAAAAAAATAAGAATGAAAAACAAGTAAGCATTTTAGATACAAAGATTTTGAAGAGTGTTCATTTCTTATTTCCTGCATAGACACCAGAAAAACCAAAAGGAATGCATAAATGTACTAGTTTGAATAATTGAACAAATATATATTTCATATATTGGGGGGGGTCCAGTTAGTTTTCTAGAATGTTCGAACACATTTTTAGTCAGAGTAGGAAAGGTGAGCAACTAAGAACGCTGCAGAGGGGAGTTCTGTCTAAAGTTAAAGTGTCAACAATCATGAATAGAAAAAAAGATGTCAACAAAGGTTGTACGGAATAATACACGTTTCATTAACAATTGGTTGTTCGTAACTACATGAGTCGTAAGTGAGAGAGATTCATTCATTAAGTGATCGAAAAACACATTCACTGAAAGTAATGATTACTGAGATACTTATTCGTACACAATATGCGACTATGGAAATTGAACTTTTTGAATACACCAAACAGCCAGTAAGAACAAGATAAGAGATTTTTTTTAAAAAGGCCAGATGTGTTTTACCAAGGAAGTGAAGTAACAAATTTAATGGTAATACAACAGTAGTGCCAACAATAATAGTAGTGCAGCTGATCATAAAAAATATTGTATCAAGTTAAATATTGGATGATCAATTATACAAAATATTAAGTGAAATCCCATCTTTAGTCATGATATCAGAACAATAGATGATAAGTCACCCGATAGGAAAGTTTGGTAAACAAGATTCTTAGATTGCAATATGCAGCGCATAATCGAAGGAAAAAACAAATATATATGTGAGGGAAATCTTAAACAAAATATTCTTTATTTCAAGATTCAAATTGTAGATTTTCACAAATTTGTTTTATACTGTAAGGCACTATATAATATATATATATATATATATATATATATATGAAGTTAAATCGCTAATGACAATAGCAATGATAATAATAATAATAGTAGTAATAATAATAATAATAACAAATATCAACTAGAAAGAAGACGATTTTGGATAATGCTTCTTGTGAAAATAAGCACACAGATGTACTGAAATATAACTGGACTACTGCCATTTACAGGCAGACAATACATAAACAGTGAAAAGACAAAAAAAAACCGAAAGCCCAAAGTAAAAATTATGAAACGATCAAATTCCTCATCATTCTCCTCTTTTGTAAATAAGCTTAGGATAAATTTTCAATCAATAATAAGTGTAGGAATGTAGGAGCATATATATTTTGATCATTCCAAGACAGGAAGATACCAGACAGTGAATTAGATAATGAATCAAAGTATTTTACGTTATACAGTTAGCTTCATCCGGTATTTGATGATGAAGTATCTACACTGGAGCCGTTCACTATAGATTGTGAGTCACTAGTTACGGATGAACTGATACCAACCTGTGAGGACAAGCTGTTAGTGAAGCATGATACAGCTGCAGCGACAGCATTTGCATGTTCTGGACCAAGTTCTGAAATGGGTGTCGCAAGCAGGCTTTTACGTAAAGTTTGGATGGCAGTCGATACTTTTACAGCAGGACCCAACTTCATACCCAATACATGCATCAGATCATGCTGTTCAAGGCACAATAAAGCAGCCCCATCAATTTCCTAAAAAAAAAACAGGAATAACATGTTAAGTATATGCTTTAGTATTCAAACAACACCAAAATATACGTATGCATGATTATGTCAAAAAGTTCTCTGGCAATATATATATATATATATATATATATATATATATATATAATTCTGTTTTCTGAGGCTATTTGAAATACACGTTTATTAGTACCTTAGTTTGAGACACCTAGAGATCGTAATTACCGTAGTCGGGTTGATTTGTTTACTGCCATGTTTGACAACTGTGACGTTAAGATCCTGTCAAATCCATTAGTTTATCAAGATAGATAACTGTTTAGAATCTTAGAATGTGTACTTAAATACTGTGACGGACGTCTCGCTTATTATCAGTTTTTAAGGATAGTACAAATGATGAATTTGTAGGTGTTTAGCGGGTTGGACTTGATAATGTCAAATAAATTGGGTATTGGATAGAAAGTAAATAAGTTATAGAATAATTATATTTCGGTGATATTCCAATCACCAAACTGTCAATATCTTATTTCATTAGTATTTATAGTCAATGTTCACAAATGAATGATCCATATAAAATTAAGGTGTTGTTGTGTCATTTTAAAAAGTTATCAACAGCAAAAGCTTTAAATATCGTAGTAAAATAAAAGTGTTGCATAATTTAAAAAGATTATCATAATTTAAATTGTATTGCATTATTAATTCTATGGGAATGTCGAATACTCGAAAGAAGTTATGCGGTGATCATCTAATGCCTGATAAAAACACTTTGAGATTAAAATAGTTTAAAAATGAAAAATAATTGTCCATTTGACAAATATGGAAAGTGATATTATTACTATTATTGTATGTTGTAATAATAGTTAGTCTATGATTAAGAAAAAAATTAGGTAGGAGTAATAGTTACGATAGATTATTGAGAATAGGCGATAAGAAGGAGGTTTGAGACCATGATAGACATTTAACATGTTGTTTTTGTACACGAAGATAGGTTTGGATTTAACACAAGCTAGAACGTCTCTGTTGTATACAAGTTTATCATTTGTTTTGCCTTTGAATCAATCTGTTCAACTGTATGGACGATTTAAAGAAGGACTCTTATGAATCAGTGACCAAGATTTACAAGATGTTCTAGAATTAAACTTTTGCTTGACTAACGCAATCCTTACTTCGTATCTCCACCATAGTTTACTCCATTAAAGGCGAGTAAACCGAAAGATACAGATTGATGAGACCCACGCCAGGAGCTTGTCCTTCACACAACTACGAATCAAAGGTCGACTGGAGAAGACCATAAGGAATTTAGCCAAGTGGAATGTTTTTCTTTAAAGTTTATTTCTCAAGATCTCTGTTTCAGTATCTTTTTTAAATTGAATGTTCATGAATACTCTTTGGCTTGAAAATTCTAATGTACTTATGTGGAGAGCTGTTGTTGACATCTGTTGGGGTTTATGCAGTTCCATGTCAAATATGTAATCGGTACAGATTCGTCCGACTTGCGGATAAAATGAATCAAGTTTTCCTTTCGACTGGATAGTCTTCTATGTATCGAGCTTTAAAGTGAGCTATGTAATGTAAGTCACTTCTTCAGAGAAGTGTACCACTGTAAAAACTCTCGATTATTGTAATAAAGTTAGAGAACTTCTTTATAATTGTTGATGAGTTTAAACGATTGTTTAGTGTTGCTTATTGCAGCCGTCTTTTGCTTATTTAGGCTGATGGTCAAATTAAAAAAGTTATACAATCGTTACCAACATGAAACTCAAGATATTTTCGATATGAAATGAAGTTTCATTCATATTTTGTAACTAAGCATTTTTAATTGTATTTGTATCCTTCAGTAGTGGATTAGAAAGACTGAATTGGTCGGAAACATCAAGACTTATTAAATGGATGCTTCGACATTGACCACACACTTGCATCTGGACTGAACAATTAACAATGGAATCCAAGCAGCATATTTCCCACAAGTCAGAACTTCCGACTGGATATTTCAGCAAATGACTGAGACTCGAAAAACAACATTCAGTTGAAGCGAACTGAATTTTATTGCTAGTCGCTAACAAACAGATAATCCGTTTCTTTGTTATTACGAGTACTATAAAGAATTATTTATATGACAGTAGCAAATACAGAAAAACTAACAAATATATACAACTGAAATATCTAAATTATGAAAAGAGAAACAGTGGTACTTAACGTGCGCAATCCTATTTATTAAAAACGTTAAGAATGGTATCCTAAACTGTGTGCATGCACGATATGAAGTGAGTTTACGTTTGGGAACAACAATCAAACTTCGCTAACGACTAATATTTATTTTGGGTCAAAAAATGTGAGTAACGGAAGACGGTATTAGGAGTCCGCGAGGATGAGAAGACGATTAAGACTAGAGGAAGAAGTTGACATAATATCAGTGCTGAATTCAATTTTGCTGATAAATTAAGGCGAATCTATTAGATTTTAAATATAAATGTAGGGAAGTGTGCTCACAGTGAGAACCATTCAGTCAGTCAGTTACAACGTAGAACTTCGTACGTACGTACATCAGTTCAGGATGACATACCACATTAGCACAGTGACGCAATTGTCACTTCAAATCCCATAGTTGTAGAGGTAGTAAAAGTATCAGCAATAATCGGAGAGATTAGGGTTTGAAAATATTATTCAAGAATTATAATTCAGTAAGATAAATCCAGAAAGAGAAATATAGAGATGATGAAGAATTCTGAAGATTAGGATTTGAGAGAACATAAAGAATCAATGCACCTGTGCAATTGCCAACAGTTTTGAGTACCACATAGAGTTGATGCTATTTATGATGTGAAATGCGTAGAATTCCGTTGGAAAAAAGAAAAAAGCAAACTTAAAACACTAACTATATTAACATATATCTTTTTAATCAGAAGATTAAAGAACTTTACAAGTATCAACCAAAGCACACTGAAATAATATAAGAACTCGTTCATGCACATAAACTTGAGAAAATAATCTAAAAACTGAACAACTAATAACTAAATAAATGCTGGAGCATTGGTGTCAGAGTGAAATTTCTTTTATGTTCAGATTAGCATGGTTTTTTAAGTCAGTTTCATTGAAGCTTAGTAAACGAACAGCATGAACTGTATCCTCACTATTATTTTTAAGACATTTCACACCATATTTTGTCAAAGAAAAAACTGAAAGATTATTTAACAATATACTCAGATAGTGTAATTGTCCAAGACAAAGAAGCTTATCTAAAAAACCTGGTGTGATGCTAGTTTCTAACAATTGGGAACACCCAACTTATCAATAAAAAGAATATACAATACAGATTTTAAAATAGATAATTCAAATATTTATTCTACTTCGAAAGTATTGCGATGTATTTTCGCTATGGAAACAACCTATCCTTCTAATCTATAACATACTAGGACGTTTATGAAAAAATCAATCATAAGTTGAATCGGAAAATGGTTGACCAGGAGTAATAGTTTAGATTTCGATAGGCGAGCATTATTATTAAACCTAACGTTAAGTGTGGCTAAAAGCCGAGTACAAATATTTGAGCTTAGTAATCAAATTACACTATTATTATTTCTACAATCACCCTTATGGACTAGGCTTTAGGCCATGACCAAGTGATGGAATTAGCCGTTAACAGCTTAAGCTAAAGAAATCAGAACTCGTGACAAAATGTTTGAAGCAGTGAATAAAAGCTCCATGGTTTTATACGGACATTTTTAGAGAATTGTAAGCAAATTGCAACAGGAAGAAGTTATGAAGAACAATACTATTTGAAGTATTAATAAACTGATGTTAACGACATAAATCTTATTTTGAATAGTGAACATTATTCCCATTATCTCTTCCTTATTTTTATCCCCAAGACAATGTTGACAATTGCTTTTATTCAATTAAATTATTCTTACTGATCTGTTTAGAACTTGACTGGAATTAAAGTAGTATTTAGATCTTCAAGTTCAGGCGATAAACGGCAAGAGAAGACAAGCGAACTGACATTTCTTATCTATATAGCTCATAACCACCAAGTCTATGTAGCTTCCCATCTACTAAATATGTATTTCCGAATTCTACGGAAAACAGTAGAATGAATTTACTTAACTTAAAAAAAATAAGAATCTACCTATCAAAATTCAAAACGAATCAGATTGTGTTGGAAGTTAGTTTTCTGCGGTACAATAAACATTCTAAAATGATTGATCGGAGAAAAAAATTTGATATATTTTAAACAATGAACTGATTAGAATCTTGATAGCGGTATTGATTATATTACATGAGATGAAATGAAAAATGAGTTAATAAGGAATCAAGCGAAATGAAGGAATACTTGACTTACATTTTCAATGAATTTACAAGCGAACTGTTTGCACCCTGGCAATGTAGAAATAAAATTAGCTACAACACTCGGGTTCCAAGAATGAGGTCCAGGGAGACCAGCAACTTTGGCTGCACGAATAGCTGCCCCTGCCTGTGGTAATAAACGACCCATTAAATCAACGTCTCTCAACGAGGGATTGTTCAAACCACTGACTGGAGCATTTATATAATTTGAGGAGGATAAATCAAAAGGTGGTAGCAGACATGACGGTCTTGCTGGATCAATATAGAACGGAGATAGAACGGGATTATGGCATATGGGAGGCATGAATAACCCATTAGTTGTATCAGGATACCAACCAGCATTTGGTGTCTCCATTAAAGATTGAGGAGGAACAGTGTTACTAGAGTTAACGATCATACCAGAAGAATTCATAACTGTCAGGCGGTGAGTGCGATTAGAACACAGGTCGACGGGTGTGATTTCTTGAGTCAGCCTGGCATTTATAGGATAGCCCGAAGTCGGATCATTCATTGCAGCTAAGGCAGAAGTGTGCTGCCCAGGAATTTCATAACCTGAAGACGATCTTAAACGATCTACATCCATGTAACCCATGTTAGTATTGATGCAAGCATTGGTTAAAACACTTTCAGCGGGACTGGGTTCTGAACTGCACGTGACAGGCTTAAGTACATCGATATTTTTGAGGTTATTAGATTCCAAGTTATGTGGGAGGAAGCTATCACTTTGACAATCTATTGGTGGATGAGAATTTATAGTTACATTCATATTACTACAAATAGATAATGTGGATGTGACAGATAACGAAGAAATAGGGACTGCAACAGATGAAAGAGTATGATGTTGACTTGATACACCAGCTGGATATGAATGTCGTCCGGCAGACGTAGTATATGACCGTGGTAGAGATGTCAGTGAAGTGAAATGAACGGGACGTGACTGTTGTAAGGAAGGATGGAGAACATGCACTGAAGTATATTTCCTAGGCCGACCTCGTTTACGTTTAATAGGCATAGGGGATATGCTAAGATTCTTTGTATATTCATCAGATTGGTCAGCAGTGTGAGATGAAAGGTTGGGAGGAGACACGTTGTCCAGAAGGTTAGGCTCTAATTTGCTCAACTTCTGTGGCTTAACTGAGTCGCTAGAATTCCCGTTAGATTTTGTGCTTGAAGAAGAAACATTAATAGAAGATTCATTCGATAAGACAATTACATTGGCTGTAATTTCAGAAGGAAGATTTGAGTTTTCGCATTGAGGCACAGCACTAACATAAGGTATTTTGAAAAAGGAAAAATGAGCCATGTTTATCAGTAGCACCGAAAAAACATTTATAAATATGAACGTACTAGAACAAATAAAAACGTAACTTGAAGAACACATTTATCGACGTATGTTGAATAGCATAGTTTAGATCCAGTAAAATCAAGCTAAGATTGTGAGGTAATCTTTCACTTACTTTTTAACAAGCTCGTTACAATCAAACATGTTATTAACATGAACAACTAACTACAAAAATGAAATTTGCGGCAGGGATATTTCATACAAATGAATACCAGCTATGAGGTTAGACACATATATATATTTAGACAAAAAGTGTGACTTCATTATTTAGGCATCGGAAAACTAAGTTTTAATTTGAAAAAAATTGTAGAAGACATTGATTGAACTCAAACACAGAAATGTATAACAAGTAAATCAATAACATCAATCATAAAGGAACATTAAAGTCATTGTCGTAATTATCAAGAAAACGAATTCTTCGTTTCCTAATAGTTAAAATTAAAATACAGTTCTTTGAGAAAAAAATTATAGTGAACCAAGAGTCCATAAATGACCAGGTTAAAATGTGAAGATCAGCCTAAAATCTCCAGATAAAATTCGAAACATCTGAAATTAGTCAGTTATTCTGTCAATAATGTCATCAACACTGAAATAAACGGCAAATTTGAAGAAAATGTTTCCACTTACAACCAAGATAAGAAAAAAAACAGAACAAAGTCCGGAAAACAACATGTTGTGTTCATGTGTTAGAAAACATCTAACCACATCTAACTTTCAAACAAAAGTAAGTCGATAAAAAACTCTCCTTGCCTTATAGTTATGATACGATAAAAGTTCACGTACACACTAAATGTTACTAAAATGACTGGTAATTGAGACATGTGGGTTAGCTTACAGTCGTCACATAGCAAAGAGACGTTGAGAAGTGATTAGTTTTTACAACTGATTTCTCTACTATTGGTCCAAAATATATCCCTTTAGTCGAAGACAAATTATTCTTTCTCGTTTGTTGAAGGATTGTTTAGGATTACGAAACACTAAGATAAAGCGTCATACACTTAAGATACTCAACATAAACATAACAGATAAATACAGAATGAAAAGTCAGATAATTGCGCTTTTCAAGTGGAAAGCAACCTACGTGAAATACGAACTCCAGTGAAGTCGAAGTTGTGTACAAGAGATTTCAAAAATAATTCACAACAACAAAACCATACGTTCTTCACAATCTACAAAAAGAATCCAATTACTGTCACTATCACTACTGTAAAAAACGGAAGTCGTACAACTACGTCCTTGTTTACAGTAAGTTTAAGTACGAACAGATCAAGTTTATCTATTCACGGTGACGAATTAGAGATTAGTCAAACACTAAAAGTTATTCAATAGACAACAGTTCAAAACATTTACCCTCCAACTGCTAATATATTAGATGAAACAATCAGGAGGATGAGATCAAATAACTCACCATGAAGAACGACCCCGTCTATTTAATAAACATTCGTTTGGTGACTCTGACCGAAGAATGGCAATCTTAGACTGTCTCACACCCATGACCAGAAAAACAATCCCAGGCCCTTTATGGTATATTCCCTGTTTGTGTAAGATAAAGATAGCAACCAACAACTATATTATGGAGAGTAATGTTTTCGGTGATTATCATGCATCAGAAAGGTAGACTATTTTCAGATGTCATTCTGAATAAGATGGCATGCATTTATTTGTCTACGTAATTTTATATATACTTTTTTGGTAGTCAAGTAGCATCTTGTATCTTGTGGGAAAATGTGATTTGCCAAGCACTTAAATAAAAACTAAACTTGCAAACGAGGGAGTTCCACTTTCCTATACTTTATACAGTATTCACCAAACTAAGTCTACCTATGAAATATAATAATCATAATTTGTAAGAACTTTTATTCTCTAGTTGTTAATATTAAGGGCTGCAATCGATCAGTCTTATATGTCTGTCCTGAGCATATTGCCTCAATATCGCTGCTCAATTACAGGTTTTAACTGACTATCGTGGCTAGCAGTGGGATTTATGAGGTGCCTGGTAATAACTCAGGACTCTTCAGTTGGATGTACCAGAATCGTAATGTTGATGCTTAAATTGAGATTTGAATAGTTGGAAATGAAGATAAAAATACTAAGCTCCAGCTATATCGTGGATATCGACACTACGATATAGGCACATCCAAAAGTATGACGAAAAGTATGCAATCAATTCTGCTGTTGGCCACTACCTATATATGCAATAACAATTACTATTTCAAGCCGTTTAGGCTATCACATGCGTGCAAGCAGGGTACAAAGATTGTTAAATTGCAAATTGTTAAATAGATGAAGTATCTGAGAATTGATATGGTTATCATAAAGAGGAAGTGCTTGGTTCGAGCATAATTTTAGTTGAATAACGAAGGTTGAACTAATGATAAAACCTAGTTCTATTATATATATATATATATTGGTTTTTAGGGAATATTTATGGGGAGGCAGCAAAATAGACTGATGAAATCGATGTGAAAAAATTAAACCATATTTACAGTATGATTGAAAGTGATCAATAATTCTATTGTGTGTCCTACACATTTTGCACATGTAGTATTAAATAAAAATAATCAAAGCGAATACAATTTTGACATTGTTATAATCATTTGCTGTATAAACGTAAATTTTGAAATCTAGGAAGAATACTTTTCTAAAAGTATGGAGAATACCTAATAAAAACAGTTAAACATAGTTCAATAGTCACTAATAAGTACCACCTATACACGGGTTGCATGAGAGAAAATGATATTACTCGATTGAATTACGAGAGTCAGAATGATATCCTAGGGCCTCAAGTTCTAAATTTGGCTAGAAATATGACTGATAAATAGTATCGCACATACACAAACCGTTTAATTAGTCGATTTCGGCACTTGGATTACGATGTTATTTGAAAGCAGTTTTATTAAGTCTATGCATTGAAAAAATCTAACCATACGATAGATCCATCCTTAGATGAACAAGCGTAAGTAAGGCTAAGACCATTGCTCGAGTCAGTCAATTTATATGGCAAATGAATGAACTTAAGATAAAAACAAAAAGGAAGTTAAAGATTCCCATTAAGACTTAAGTCAGTAAGATGAAATGCCATTAGATTTACATCATTTCTGTGAATACGACAATTAGGACTTAAATTTATGATGAAACAAATAGAGAAAAATAGCAAACAATGATAATACCGTGTCATTATATTAAAAAACGTACGAGTTAGATAACCATGGTTAATAGCAATTTACAAAACATTCCTAAATAACAGGTTTAGAATGAGATATTACTTTGAAAGGCTATCCATGAAGTGTAGATAACTTGGATTAATTCACTTAATTCAAAAAAGAGTGACATTACTGATATCAGATAATCACACCGCTGCAGATACCAGTGTTGAAATATGTTTAGAGTAAATCAAACCTCTTGGTTTAATTTACGACCTTGCTTCATAATGCGCAATTGATAATAACTTATTCGCATTAAAATGAATGCAAAACAGTCAATATTCCAATTTTCTTTACACGGACAATAAACTGGGGAAAAAATTAAGAAATTGAGTGCAAGGACTATTGTCTTTTCATGAGTAGAAGCTGAGCTTGTAAGTAATTATACAGTGACAAGCGTAGGGAAATGGTACTTCAACTGCAGAATATAAACCTATTACGCAAGTATAATCCCAGGATACTTTTGACGTTTAGGATGGGAGTAGATGACAAAAGATTACCGGAAATGTACTGGTGAGATTCTATTGATCACAGGGCAATCAGTTATCTTTTACCTAACAACGGATTCTGAAGAGGACTACAAATTATTAAGACAATCGATTATCTGATAAGAACTTTCATCTACTGAACAATTTTAAAAGTATTTGAGAAAAACTCAGTTTTTTCTTCAAGCTAAAATTTGTCTGGCTTGGTTAAATACTGTTAAGATTGTATATTTCGTCTAAATCAACGCAATACATATCTTCATATGTAACCAACAATTATGGATCTGTAACAAGTGCGTGTCAGCCAGACGGTCAGCTACAATCGAGAACTTGGTAGGAATATACATCAGTTCAGGTTGCTATACCACATAAGAACAGATAGATCGGATTTTCAATTCAAATCCCATAATAATAAAGGTAATCGAAATATTAACAGGGATGGAGGTTAGGGTCTGAGGGCGAAGTCGTATCGCTGACTACATACAGGTGTGACAGCAGTAAGGTGTTTCCCTCGGACAACCAGCATCTGCGGCGATGCTGACTTCTCACAAGGAAGAAAGGGTTAGAAAAGGTCAACCGTAAAAATGTCACACCATCCTGCCTCACGGATTTCCGTCTCCGGCGGTAAGGGTGCCCACTAAGGGCTTTCAAGAACGGAGCCAACACTCATAAAACCTTTCATCAAAAGGCCGTGCGTGACCGGCCTCAAACAGTTGTCCCTAGGATTCTGCGGTCACGCTCCCAGGTCTCCAAGACCAACGCTAATCTGCCTTCCTTTTCAGGTCCCTCAAGAAACAACCTTCCACGGTGTGGGCAGCCCGGAAGTGACAACCGCCCTCATACCCGTAACAGCACACGAGACAAAATTGGTCGAAATCAAATCCTTCCTACACCCCCTAATACCTCTCTTATCTCCACGACTAACTCTTCCCACATTCCTTTATCACAGTGCACAGCTAATGCAAACGATGCGAGTTTACGAAACGTCATTTCTGGTCGCCTGAAACACCGCTCTATACTACATGTTGGAGCTTTTAATGTACGGACATTGTGTCAAAGAGGATAACAGGCTTCCTTAGCTAGGACTTTAGAGTCTCGCCCTATCGACGTATGCTACGTCTCGGAAACGCGCATACAGGATCCTAGTAAAGTCATTAATCTGATTTCACCTTATGAAAATAAAGAAGCATCCCGACTTAATCTTTGTGTATCCGGGGGCCCTGATGCTGCTTCCAGGGGTCTCGCTGGTGTAGGTATAGTATTGAGTCGTAGGGCAGAACTATCCCTATTAGACTATATCCCAGTAGATAGTTGCATGTGCGCTGTCCGACTAAACGGGACAGTAAGGACTCGGAAAGATAGGGACACTCGCCGTTGCCTCTTCGTCGTATCTGCCTATGCCCCCACTGACCGCAGTTCAGACGAGGTTAAAGATGAGTTTTACAGAAAGCTTTCAGACCTCCCCCAAAAAGCTAGGCGCTCTGATACAATAATAATGGCTGGTGACTTTAATGCTCAAGTAGGTAGACTAAGTGAAAATGAAAGACACCTTGGTGGATGTTATGCTGTCGCAGCTCAGAGAACAGACAATGGTGACCGTCTGTTGCAAGTATGCTCAGACAACCGCCTATTCTTAGCAAACACTAACTTTAGGCATAAGGAAAAGCATCTCTTGACCTGGCGACCCCCGAAGTCGTCTCAACGTTGGACCCAACTAGATCACATTGCCATCAGCCACCGATGGAGGGGTTCGATAGAGGACTGACGCTCGTTCTCAACTGATGAACTGATGTACTTACGTACGAAGTTCTGCGTTGTATCTGTCTGTCTGTCTTTCGTCTACAGTTTTATAGTAGTTGGGCACCGGTCAGTGCAAGCAAGACATTAACGAGAAAAATTATGTTTGCGAAAATCTCAGCGATCGACCTATAAGTGAATCCAACGTTTCACTCAGAATTTCGGTCCAAGCATTTTCAGAGAAATATCTAATCGATCAGAAATAACAGAAGCAGCACATATAACTAAGCAAGCTTTTATTACATTAACAAAGTTTAAGACACCTTAATGTTAAGTAAACTGATGTTTTTAGGTATAGAATCTCAGCAAAGCAAAACTTTGCCATCTTTGAGTGAGGGATACAAAGTAATAAAAATTCAGATCCTTCCTTTGTCCCCTTTGAGGAAAGTTATAAGTATGTTGATTTAGAGTTCAGAAAAGGATACCAAATATGAGAGAAATGTTAAAAGATTACATGAAAATGAACAAATAAACAGTAAAGAAACCTACCCGATAGCGACTGTTGGGGAAAACGAGTTTGAAATTTCAGTTCCCACAGACGATTCTTTCGGTGAGAAATCAGGTAACTTTTCAAGTGTCAAGTTTAAAGGCAACGTATTAGATTGAGGTGATTCATTTGGAAGTGAACTCTGAATGGAAGCAGCTGGACTACTGGTTGAATGGATGTTGTTTATCACAGCTGAAAAACCGGGTGAAGTCGTGGCAATGCTATCCGCAATAGAAAATTGTAGTGTAACTGAATTACCTGATACAGAGGTTGGAACTTTGGTATCTAAATAGGGACATGCTATGAGAGAATAAGATGTAACAACAGTGGAGGTATTATTTGAAGAGAATTCACTTTTGACAGTAGAATCCGGAGAAAGACGTTGACCTGAGTTACGATTAAGAGGATTGTAAGTAGAAACTGACGCCGTTGTCGCACTGGAATCAGGATTTTCTGAATCAATAGAAAAAGGAGAACTGGACGTTAATATATTAGTTGAACTTAGACGTTCATGTGCCCTAATAGCATCTTTCTTAAGATTGCCATCAGCATATGGGCATCCTGAAATACGCTGATGAGAGAAATAGCGAGGACCTTTGATATGTCCGTAGCCTTTACAACCAGGAGTTGGGCACCCGCCAAATGGGTTGGTAGTCCCACTACAGCTGAGAGAACTGGCAGAAGAATTAGAATAAGAATCCATTAAATTCCCATTTAAATCCAATTCAGAGTCATCTATAAAAATAAAATAAATGAACCGCGTATTATGATTTTGACGAAATTATTCTGTGATTATATCTTCTGAAGGCCAACAAAAAGACGAGGATATTATCGGAATTTTTAAGACATTGAGAAAAATTCTTAGTAAGCTTATGATAAAAAATACAAAAAAATCAACAATATAAAATGCTTCCCTGTTTAAGTCCACTGAATAAAGACACCATTTCGGTATTCATCTCAAGAAATAATCCGTCAACAAAAGCTGAATAGGTATAAAAAAGGTACAACGGAAAATTAAGTAGAAGCATTAAAGAATAATGTCAAGTTTGCATCTTTATTTTATCATTAGTATTATTTCTGTAACACCGTGGAAAGAGGATTCTTTTTGGCAGAGTATAAGAACGAACGGCACTATTAAATTACTGAAAATTGATGTGAGCGGAGTGAACCAGAATTGAAGTGCTTGACATTAAATTGATAAAAAGATTGAATACAGAGAAATTAATAATCTGGACAAAAATAAAATGACCTTCACAACAGCTGTTTTTTACTGAAGTCATAAATGAACCACCTATTTAGTTCGGTTTATTACGTCTGAGACCTCTCTAAAGCTAATGTCAGTTCCAAGACAGCGTAAAGGAGGAGGATTGGACAAAGGGTTAGCAACATCATCCCCTAGAAAATGAACTCATTAAAAAACGCTAACTAGGAAAAATAAATCAAATTATTTTAACACTGTCCTGGAATTTGGAGTCTTCGTTGAGAAGAGTTATGAAGTAACATGATGTAAGCCGTCTCTTCAGAAGTCACGAAGCCGATGCCCCTTCTCACCACCATAGCAACCGTTAATTTCAGTCAGTCAGTTACGACGTAGAACTTCGTACAGACGTACACCAATTCATGTTGCCATACCTCATTGGCACAGAAACACAAATGTCAGTTCAAATCCAATAGTGGTAGCAATAGTAGAAGTATTAGCAGTAATCGAGAAAATTAGAGTTCGAAGATATGATTCAAGATGTATAATTCAGTGAGTTAGGTTTAGAAAGACAAAGGTAGAAGTGTTGACGAGTCCAGAAGATTAGGATTTGAGAGGACACAACGATTGGATGAAGCTGCGCCATTGCAAACGATTTTGAGCCATGTCATTCAAGATCTCTGACCTTTGGTTACTATCGTCTCGCGGACCCCAACTAGCTAGTCTACAATTATCAACATGGCTCAGTCCAGTAGTGAGTGACTTCATGCATTTCTGCCATGTTTTGGTCTGGCCACCCCTAGCTTTCTTCCAACCTATTCCTACACCACAAAACATAGCCCGTCGAGGCAGTCGGTGGTTAGCCATACGTAACACATGTAACACAAGTTTCAATACTTCATCTATTGACCTGCCATCCTTACCTGGTACCCGTTTCCTAACAACAGCATTGCTTCCTCCGTTGTCTCAGGATATACAAGCAATGCAATCTTTCTCCTTAAAACGTTGTCTCACTGAACTATACTTCTTGAATAATATCGTCCAACTCTAATCTCTCCGATTACTGCTAATACTTGTTCTACCTCTACAACTATGGGATTTTAAGTGACAATTACGTCCCTGAGCTAATGTGGTTTATCAACCTGAACTTACGTACATACGGAGTTCTACGTTGTAACTGATACAATCAATGCTTTGGAGACCCCACAAACGAGAACCAGTAACCTACGAATATCTTCTACTCCGACTGGTCATGCTTCACAGCCATAAAGCAGAACGGAGCGAACTCTTGTGCAGTAAACCCGTCCTTTGGTTGGTAGACGAACATCTGGCCTACGTTAAAATTACGCACGTCAGATTCAGTCAGACATCAGGCCATCAGAACTGATGAAACTCCCGGTATAAGTGAAGTAAACATGCTCAACGGCTTCACTCCCTATCACTAGTTCAGGTGCTGACGCAAGCCAACCGATCCTGAAATAACATTTTGCATTTCGAGGAGGCGAATCGCACCCCAAACATGCTTGAATTGTTGCTTAAAGCGTTCAGAAGACTCTGCACTTGTCAGCGTCTTCACCAATTAGAACTATGTCATCGGCAACAAGCGAATCTCTTGATGAAAGTTCAACTCCTTCAAGGTCAGACAATGAAAGTGTCGTCTTCAAAAGCATGTCAATAACAAAGTTGAATAGAACTGGAGAAAGTGGACAATCTTGACGAACACCACTTAATGTAATCAACTCCGTAGACAGCTCACAATAGGCTCCAAATAGACCAGTGGTGTTTGAGTAGATAGCTTACATAAGGTTAATGTACTTCTCTGGTACACCTATCAATGACAGACACTGCCAGATAACCTCACGACCGACAGAGTCAAGTGACACTTTAAGGTCAAGTGATGTGTCTGTGTTCCAGTACCTCCAGTACGCTCAACTACTTCACTCCCTATCACTAGATCCAGTGAAGTCGCAAGACAATCTTTAAGCAACATTTCGCATTTCGACGGGGAATACTTCATCCTGAACATGCTTGCATTGTTGCATAGGATAATCAGAATATTCTGCATTTTTTTTAACCAAATACGACTATGTCATCGGCATATTCTAGGTCAGTAAACGATCCTCCTGGTAGGTCTACTCCTAAAAACCTAACGAGGATAATGTTAACTCTAAAAGCATGACTACGATGAAGTTAAAAAGAATGAATAAAGTGGACAACCCTGGCGGACACCACTTGAAGTAAAGAATTCCGACGACAGTTCGCTGTAAGCTCCCACTCGATTGGTAGTGTTCAAATAGAGAGTTTGTATAAGGCTTATGTACTTCTTCGGCACACTTTTCAATGACAGACACTGCCACAGAACCTTAAGATCCACAGAGTCAAATGCCGCCTTAAGGTCCAGGAAGACAACTATTGTAGGACGCTTAAATGTTTAACTTTGTCGCAGACATCCTTCTGGAGTTAACATCATCTTTGTCAGATTTTACAGTAGACCTACCAGGAGGATCGCCTACTGATCTAGATATATGCCGATGACATATTTGTAATTGGTAACAAAATGCAGAATATTCTGATTACCCTGTGCAACAATGCAAGCAAGTTCGGGATGAAGATTTCCCCGTCGAAATGCGAAATGTTGCCTGAAGATTGTCTTGCGACTTCACTGGATCTAGTGATAGGGAGTGAAGTAGTTGAGCGTGTTGACCGCTTCACTTATCTTGGGAGTCTCATCAGTGCTGATGGCCTGGTGACTGACGAAATCTCAGCACGGATACACAAGGCTCGATTGGCTTTTTACATTTATGACGAGTGTACTGCACAGTTGTTCACTCCGTCATACTTTATGGCTGTGAAACATGGCCGGTAATAGTAGAAGATATTCGTAAGTTACTGTCAGTTCGAATAGGAAACAGTATTGATGTCTGTGATATTGATAGTTAGGACGACCAATAAGAATTGACCAATAGACCAATTAGACCTAAAAACAATTTTCTTAGGATATTAGATTATTATCTTAACCGATCCCCAGAAATATAATTTAAAATCTCAGTTTCGATTTATTCTGTTTAGTATTCCGGTCGATTGCACGATTCCAATCCTTGTTCATTTAAGACCTTTCAGATATGATATTATCTTGTGTCCGTTTGTTTCATGATTTACCTTGGGTATAAAATTTTTCTCATTAAATATGCATCAGAATTGTTTAAACTTAATTAATTTAATTAATTGATGCTGATCCATTGATAGTTTAGTTACGAGGAAACTAATTTATAAATAAATAAAATGAATTATGCATTGGTCGTCTTCATCCTTTTTCTATGATTTGAAAATAGAAATCTTATTTTACATAGTTTAGTCAATGACTTTTCTTCTATTGCTCTACCATAAAAATTATAGACAGTAATTAGAAAATCCAGTTGGACAGGTAATGTCAAGTGAATAATTTTACTTTCGATCAATAAACAGTTAGAAATCATCATCAATGCAACTAGATGATGATTGTTCAGCGAAACCTTAAATTAACTTCATTTCAATTTAAACAAGACCTGATAGCTAGCTGTCTTCAGTTTCATATTGTATGAAAACGCTATTTTATTTGTTTGACAATTAAGAGTTTCACTTTGGATATAATCAGCACTTTAACATTAAATCCGATATCAAAATCGGAGGAAGACTATCACAGTTTTACTTACAATGCATCTATGTCCCCACTCGATGAAACTATAAAATGGTGTTATCCTTAAAGATGGACAAGTGGTTGTTCAAGAAACTGGAAGCCAAAACAACTATCGACAAACACCAAAGTCAGAATTTTTAACACACATGTCAAGATAGTCCTACTGTATGGTGGGACGGAAAATTGGAGAACTACCAAAACCATCATCCAGAAGATACAAGTGTTCATTAAAAGGTGTCTACGCAAAATACTTCGGATCCATTGGTCAGCTATTATCAGCAACAACCTACCGTGGGGGTGGGGAACAAACCATATTCCGATGGAGGAGGAAATCAGGAAGAAGCGCTGGAGGTGAATAGGACATAGATTGAGGAAATCACACAACTGTGTCACAAGACAATCCCTCACTCGGAATCAACAAGGTCAAAGAAAAGAGGAAGACCAAAGAACACGTTACGCCGAGAAATGGAGACAGGTATGAGAAGAATGAACAACATTTGGACACGACTGGAAAGAAAAGCCTAGTACAGGGGAGGTTGGAGAATGCTGGTCGGTAGCCTATGCTCCATAGGAGGTAACAGGTGTAAGTAAATCAATAATTATATTTCAAAAGGTTTTATAAAGGAAACTAGCATGAGCTTTATGAGCAACATCATGTTACACTGTGAGACGATAGCAATCATATTGGTAAAAAAGAAAACTGTCAAGTAAATTATATTGGAATGTGAAATAGGATTATGAGAATGGTTATTCAGTCAATCCACCAATCACACTGATTTCAGTATTTCATAAATGTATTACCCGATCAACTAACATAGAATGAGACTTCTACATCTACGAATATAACAATTGAAAATTCATCGAGAAACATCAGTTATCTATCCACTGGACTGGGACTTCTACTAAACACAACTCATCGGTGTCAATTCACTTTAACAATTACTTTCTTAATTCTAGTACAGGGGAGGTTGGGCAATCCTGGTCGGTGGCCTATGCTCCATAGGGGTTTTGCAGCGTAAGAAAGTAATTCGATTCGATAAGAAAAAATTATGCATGGTATACTATCAAACTGAGATTATTGTAATCAGTAATAATTGTCTTGAAAAGGGAAGACTAGATAATACCTTCGGTTTTTGTCCAGGGGTTTGGTTATTAACGTTCGTATAGAAACTTAAGTTAAACAATTAAAAGGCTGTCCTGATAAACAAGTCTATATTGGTCGTGTTATATATATATATATATATATATATATATATATATATATATTTCATGGTCAATTAATTTTAAACTATTTTTCGTATCTAGAAGTTACATGCTAGCAACAAATAAGAGATCTTAAGCTTTTATTAGGCAGTGGTTAACGAATCATAAGGTAAGATTTTAGTGATAAAAAGCAACCATTAGATATCTACCAATAAAATACACGATAAAAACTAAAGGAAAATAAAATATTTATAATCAATACACTTAATAATTTGTTCAGCCACTTTCCAGATACACAATGTACCTAAATTTACAAATGCGGGTTTTTAAAAACATTTAACAAAGACACGTGACGACCCGAATCGATGTACTTTCACATTCTAATAAGGAAAAGTGATTTCAGCTAGATAAGTCTAACAGCGTATTAGTCAAAATCACACATTACGTTTGTATTCACAAAGAAATATAGGAGAAACAGGACGACAAAGTATTGAAGTTAAAATAGTTAGCTTTTAACCAGTATGCTATAGTTATAAACAGCACCTTATGTAGGTTACTCGGTAGTATCATTAGCTCGTACATATCAATGACTTCATATAAATATAGTTGGATTTTCCTTGAAAATAAGCTTTATTACAACTGAACCCAACTGTTGATATACAGAATTGGCGCAGTGGTTTAGATACTTCACTGCAACTACCACATTACACGTTTAAATCTTATTTCCAGTGATAGGAATAGTTCTTACAAAATGGGCGTAGCTTACAGTTAGAGGATTTAAAATCACTATTGTAAATGTGACTTATTTCGTTTATATTTTTGAGACTGGAAAATAAATAAATAATAAATATATAGTGAACAAGGTAATTTGAGAGAACCTTGTCCAAAAATTAGTGTAGTTTGTACAATCAAGTTCTAATAAAGACTAGAATGCTAAAAAGATACATAAATAGGGCTGCATTGTGTAACTGATTAGCGTATTTTTATGAATACATAACAGTTATTATGAGTGAATTTGAGCTCCCAAAAAATATATTATTTACAAGTGAAGTCAAAAACTAGAAACTTACATCCCGGTGGGACTTGTAAAGGATGTCCAGAAGCATGACAATAACCAACGGGGAATAAATCAAGAGACCACACCTCTACACGTATATTGTATTTATCAGGCCAACCATCATACCCCAGGGTTAGAAATCCAGGAGGAGTGTTATCTACAACATTGGCAACACGGACCAATGAGGGGCAACGTTTGTCCACAGCTTCTAAGCGTTGGTTTATTTGAAACTGTTGTGATGATTTAGCGAATTTGGTAATCTACATTGTGAATGATAAAAATATTATTGAATGGTAGTGATACGTCTTGTATTAACATTTTCAGAAATCCACTTCGAAAATATTTAATTAAGAATACATTTATGAGAAAGGCTAGTAATTACTAACACATATCCATTTTCCGATTTAGTTTACCACTGCAAAAAATTAATATATTTTTCTCAATCGATGGTCAAGGAGATCGGTAAGTATGATTGAAATTATGGATCAATGAAATTTAGAACACTACTAAAAAGTTGAGAGCACTGGACGGCCGTTCCTTTCTAGTATGAGGCTACTCAGGAGTGTATATCCACGACCTCAAACTCGGGAATCGAACCCCCAGGACATTCGGTCTTGCACTGGAACGACTAACCTCGAAATCATCATGTGGGCATCCAGCGCTGTTGATGCACCACATCGCGTGACCACGTTACTGCTTTTTAATTTACAGCTTTATTTCTGTATGATGTATTATATATTGCAGAAATCTACTTTTTGGATTCATCATGAGATTGTTCGTTTCATTTTACAGTACAGAAATTAGGAAACTGGACAATCTATCAAATTTTATGCTACATTTACAGACTTGATACTGAGAAAACCGAGAATCAGACAATCAATACAGGAAGACGAAGATGAAATTTAAAGATTTAATTAACTTCTGGAAAAGATCGAAATACACTATTTTTTGTACAATTTACTTGGTCAAATAATCATCTGGATTGATACAGTGAACTTAGTAGTATATAGCATCAATTAATAGATAACCTACTGTGTAAACATACATTCACAACATTATATAATTAGACTTTGTTAATTAACAGATATAACCAATTGACAAAGTGATACAATAACTTCATCCCAAGACGTGATTACACGTCACCGACGATTAAAAAAAGCATTTTATATGCCCGTAGTACACCGATCGATTTAGTCCTTGCTCATCATGTTAATTAATACTATGCAATAGTGATGATAAAGATAAAAATCTAGACTATTATCTTTTGAATCAAGTATAAAATAATGAAACCTTGTTTCCGAAAAGCTTTAATTGGTAGTGATTACAGAGTACATATTGAAATAGAGGCAGAAAACGTTTACTTTGACAACCTCATACAGCAAATAATTTCAAAAAATAAGAAAACTACCTTTGTCCCTTATTTGATCAAGTAACAGCAATTAAACTCGCTAGCCGTGTTGTCGTAATTATGGTTTTCGAATCACATTATCAATCATTCTATGTACTTTTTCATTGGTTTCGTGATTAGTGAATTTTATAATGAATTAAAGCACTAATCTTAACCATTTCGCACTCACTATGAAGCTGACTTGCTATTACTTGGGCTTCTTTCATGTATATTTTATTTGGTATTAAGTTAGTAACCAATTATGTTTTTCAAGATGGGTTTAGTTATCAAGTCAGTTTGTAAAGACATTCCATTCATAGGTTGCGTTTATCACGAGCTAGTATTGATTGAAAAAGGGCTTGGTTGTGACCGATTTGGTCTCATGCGCTTTAACGGGTAAGATTAAACCAGCTATTCATTCAATCGTTTTTCCAGTTGGTAACGATAACTATTTTTATATCTGGTATTAGAGCATCTGGTAGCTGACAGAACACATAAGTGACTTGACTAACTCCATTTAACAAAATTGCAGAAAAGCTAAAACCAATATTATATATATATGTACCGAAAATGAATATTAGACGGCTATATTTCGTTTTATGATCAGATCAGTTAGGAATTTATGAGCATCTAACAAATAAACAAGACCAGTAACCTAAATATACAGCTACTGCCAGGGAAGTTGCAGTCCGCATAAGAGAGACAGAAAACTCTGATTCCAAACCAATGGTGCACATGGGCTCTAGTATCCTGATAGAAAGAATGGTGCATGAACCTATCACTGGTCACCGGATATCAAGGAACTGCAACTCCTGACGCTGCTCGATGGGCTTGTGGACTAGGCTTCTTGGTCAAAAGAGTAGCCCCGTAAAATATCTGTTTTGGATTGGGCACCTGAGCAGTAGCCCAGCCCATTTTTATAGTCAGTAATTTGTGTGACCTATAAACATTTAGGTGCTCCTTTGAACCAATGTTTATGTATTTAGATAAAAATTAATGGACATAAATGAAAAATAAATTTAGAACCGACGAATATTACCTCATCAAATGCTTCTTTAGGTACAGGCTTTGAATTTGTCTCTTTCAGGTAATGTTTCCAACTAAACCCATTCCGACGGTTGCTCCAATCTATCGAGAAAATGAATGGTTATAGATTAAAAAATTGTGATTATTGAGTGCTATTTAACTGGCAAGACTAAGCTTGTGAGCAGATAAACATTTGATAAACGTTTATTATCTGCAGAGGTGTTTTTGACGCGTATGTCTATACAAATAGAAAAAAACGAAGTTGACTGTTATAAGAGACTTATGATTGTTGATGCAAAGCCGTTTAGTGAACTCTAGACACAGACATCTGATTATATACCTATCCAAATAGAGATGAACAAGAACTGAAGCGAAAAAAATTACTACAAAATACATAGAATGTTTACAGAATGGAACTATGCCGTCACAGGAATTACCCAATATTATTTTTGTAGCTATTCAAGGTTTGATCATAAAAATATGAACCGTTGATTAGTCAATGACACTTGCAGGATATTTGCTTTATCAACAATCCTTCGCACTGTAATTTAACTGTTTAGTTTTGGGCGTTTACTGACTAAAAACTATTACTAGCCGTGGAATTTTCCACGGCTGAAAAGAACTAGATTTCCCGCGAGTAAAATAATGACATGCTAAACTTGACAGCCCTCAAACTAACACACGTTATAATAAATAATTTCTTTTTGAACAAAACCAAAAAGTCTGAAAATGCTACTTTCTAGAAAAAACACTTGACTTTTTATATTAATATGATAGTAACCAGAATCAGAAATACTGGTTGTTTGCTTATATCATAAAGCTTCCTGAGGAAAACTTAGGTTTATCTAATTTGTTACACATCTTTCATCCACAGACCTAGTTGTGATCAATGTTCTGAATAACACACTTTGTTATCGTTGACCTTTATATTGGAATTTGAATCCACCGATTGAGTTAGTTATAGAGAAAGAAACAGTTTACTTATGACCACTATCTGGAGTGATATTAGAAATATTGACATACTAATATTTTATGGATGATTGTGATACGATGCCCAAAATCTAAGTCTAACAGTCACGCTTTAATTGATCGGACGATTAGTGACCTACAAATTAATTTCTGCCAATCATCTAGCACATTTTATCATGCTTATTTTGTTTTCATATTTTGTACACCAGCAAATTATTTCATTACATGAGGATATCTATTCATCTGGTTAGTGGTCTTGTTTTTGGTTTCCAATCATTCGGATGAATTATTCGGTCTCTTGAGTAGCGATTACTCGGTCACATCATATCGTTGTGTTTATTTATCAATTCGCATTCCACTTATTGATTCTGATGATCGAAAATGATATTTATCAATCATCACATCTTCCATAACTATTGTTAACATTTAAAAATAGTTTAAGTTTAACAAACTTTGTTTATATATTCGTTATGATGTTACGATATATATTCTACACATATCCTGAACATATAGTTTGTTTCCGCTAAACATTCACTGTCAGTGTGTTAAAATATTTGTTGCTTGAAACTGTTACCTACGATTTACAGTTATAAAGCGGAAAACTAGTACTATCCAAGGAAATTGGTGATTTCTGAAGGACTCGTAGTTAAATTAGGTATTTATAACATTAATTTTATACGTAACAATGTAGTTAAGATACAGTAGTTAGTTATTGGAACAGCTCTAATCTTATAAGATAATCTACTGTACACTGATTTGATGAAGATTCTCATGTGTTAATAGCTATCTAACTTCAATCATGTAACTTATTTTAACTTTACATACGTTCATCAAACTACGTTTCAAGATTTCAATGTCGTTAGAGAATCGGTAAAAGCACAGTATTATCACAGCAACTCAGAATAAAGGTGTATACAATATATATTTAATTAATGAATCATGAGTTTGCCTCGTTAGGGGGTTTCACCAACCCAACCACTAAGAAGTTTGATTTCTAGCGTTATCTATGACACAGTGCAAAATTACATCATCTTTACAAAAACCGTGACAGACCTTACTTTTCCACAACAATATTGAATAGAATACAACCTAACCATCAAATAACTCGGTGCTTTATTTTTTCAGATATGAACAAACAACTGAAGTTACACTGATTTCTCAATAGGTCGATAGTACAAAATAACAGAATAACAGATTTACGGTACGGCTGTCAAGAACGTTCGTTTCAAATTCTTAGATATTGCTGAACTGGTAAAATGATCCAAAGAAATAAATTAAACAGGAATGAAAAAAGTATAGAATGTTCTCACGGATACTTTTCAACTAAGAAACCTGAGTGGTCACCGATTCATAATTTTTCCAGGTAGCACAGGTCATAAAACAAAACTGCTTGTAAATTAGTAATGCTTACCACTGGGAATTGATAAAACTTGTTCATGATCCTCGCAATAGCCAACAGGACGTAAAAGCTCTGATGATATGTGAGCCCACTGATCAAAACCTGAGTCCCAACCATCAAAATGAATTAATATATAGTCACCGATGCAGTCTTTGATAGTTGCGACGCAAGCCAGTGCAGGGTTCCTCTTATCTATAGCCTCAAGCTTAAGTCCAACAGCAAACATATGCGGTGGAGATGCATCAACAGGCTAAAATATGCAACAAATACTTAAAAATCGACTAAATATATTTATGAAAAACATGAGAAAACTGGAAAATTTGTACTTGTAATTTAACAACTGAATTTAGGAATTGTTTATCCAAAGATTATCGATTAAAAATCATTACCAGAGAGAAGAGATTATATATATATATATATATATATATATATATATATATATATGAGGTCGGATTGGATTCCACCACTAATGTCAAGTTAAGGAGCGTATACAAAATATATATCGATGGAAATTGATAGAATTGAAATTAAGCTTAGTTTGTTGTAGTTAATTGAATTTACAAGGCACAATGAAGGTTAATACGACATTGTCACCTCAACATCTTCAAAGCACAGTTATCATAGATGAAAACAGTAGTTTGCTTGCATACAAAATACACAACCGCTTATTACGCGACAGTAATGGTCAATCAATCAATAGCAACGGAGAACTTCGTACGTACATCAGTTCATGATGCCATACCACATTAGCACAGAGATGTAATTGTCAATTCGAATCCCATAGTAGTAGATATAGTAGAAATAGTGGCGGCAATGGAGAAAATTAGGACTCGAAGATATTATTCAACAAGTATAATTCGGTGAAATAAATTTCATAGTATTAGCAGTATTCGTAAGGCAAGTAACATACGAATATCTTCTACTCTGACCGGACGTGTTTCATAGTCATATAGTAGGACGGAGCGAACTACTGCTCAGTACACTCTTCATTTAGTCAGCAAACAGATATCTCGCATTAGCCATAAATGACGCAAGCTGGTAAAAGCCAATTGAGCTTTCTGTATCCGTGCTGAGATTTCGTCAGTCATCAAGCCATCAGCACTGATGAAACTCTCGAGATAAGTAAAGCGGTCGACACGCCCAACTACTTCACTCCCTATCACTAGTTCAGGTGCCGAGGCAAACCAATCTTGGAGCGACAGTTTGCATTTCAACGAGGAAAACTGCATCCCAAACATGCTTGCCTTGTTGCTTAGGGTAGTCAGAAGACTGCATTTTGTCAGTGTCTTCACCGAATAGAACTATGTCATCGGCATATTCTAGGTCAATAAGGGTGTCTCTTGGTAGGTCCACTCCCGAAAATTCAGACGATGATACTGTTAACTCTAGAAGCATGGCTATGACAAAAGACAGTAATGGTATTTTTAAAGGCTTCATTATAAATAATATGTACAGCCAGTTTTTACCTTCTCAGCTTCAGTGCAAATGAAGTTAACATACAAAGACTATACAACTAATGACGTGTGATTGAAAACACAGATGTCAAACTGAAAACACCAGCTTATAATAAAAAAGAACTTTTTAATTATGAATAATAAAAGCCGTGACATATTAGGAGATCATGTGGAAAGACAAAGAAAACCTAAGTCCAAATGTCATATTTAAACTGATGAGATACAGGAGGAACCAGAAAATATACAGTTGAATTGCAGGAAGACAGAATTACAGAATTACTTTGTTACGACTAGACTTGGTAGATAAAAAAAAATATCAAAGTGAATAAGTAACAAATTTCTTTGACAGTTCTCATTCGTCCACACCACACCCGACAACTTGAAGTGGCGGTCAAGCTCACCTATCGGAATGATCCAACCGAGCAATGTTGGTCGGTATACATGATCCCTTAGGTCTTACTATGTCAGGCAGATTGATTGCAGAACAGTAAAACTAAAGGCAGCAATTCGAAGTCTAAAGGCGAAGTCATACTGCTGACTGTAGAGGAGTGTGACAGAAACCAGGTGTTTCCCTAGGACTACCAGCATCTGCAGCTATGCTGCCTTTTCACAAGGAACGAAGGGGTTACAAAAGGTTAACCTTGAAAATATAAGACCTCACCTTACCTCACAGATTTCCGTCTCCTGCAGCAAGGGCACTTGAAGAGCGGAGCTAACACTTCCCAAACATCTCATGACGGAAGTATGAGGTTAGAATATATCGACCCAACAAACGTCACGACTTGACCTACTGATGAAAAGGCTGTACGCAACTGGCCTTAGAGAGTTGTCCTTTGAACTATGCTGTAACGTACCCAAATCACAAAACCAACGCTAACCCAACTTAGATTTCACGTTCCTCAAGAAACACTTCAACGATGTGGGCAACTTAAGAAGTGACATCTGTCCTCATACCCCTAACAACACACAGGGTCAATTTGGTGATATTCAAATTCTTGCCCCACTTCTTATTAACTCTCTCATCACGACTAATCCTTCTTTCATACAGTTATCACCTTGCACATCTAATGCTAACAATTAGAGTACGCGAAAAATAATTCTTGGCCCCTGAGAGCCTCCCCAAACTACATGTTGAAGATTTAAATGCTCGCACCTTGTGAGAAATGGAACCACAGGCTTCCTTAGCTAAGACTCTAGAACATCAAGTCATCGATGTCAAACCGACTTGGAAACGCACATACACCATCCGAGTACAGGCATTCATCAATCGAAACTCAAAATCGACTCAATGCTGGACCAAATTGAACCGAACTGTTACCAGCCACCGGTAGACAGACTCGACCAAAATCTGCCGCTCATTCTGGAGCACATGATCCTCACTGGAGGTAAGAAGGCGGAGCAAAGAAACCCCACAGAGTTCTCCATACAATAAATAGCCAAGAGTATACATCGACGGAACACAGAAAAGCTTGCACAGCCATGGAGAAAAAGCAGTGCTGTCTCCCAGCAAGAAAAGATTAGAGAAAACCAATGTAATTCAGCAGGGTCTAGTGAAGTGATAGACACTGAAAAACGCATCACATCTGGTACTGAATAATATGAGCAGCGAAGGCAAAATAAACACACGTTCATAAAAAAAAGCCTAAGCAATGACTGCAAACAGTGGTGGGTAGCGAAAGCAGCACAAACGGGAAAAAACAGCAGCAATGTGTAACAGTAGACAACTGTTCAAACATCAAGAAAACTGGGGTTAGGAGTCCGACTGTTAGCGAGATCCTCCCTTAAAAGAGACTAACACCCATTTTCAACCAAGGAGATCGGACCGATGGGTGGAACAGCTGAAGCGAGAGACCTAACTGGTCTACAGCTACACTTCAGTTACTCACCATCTACAGATAACATGAATGGCAGACTGATGTCAGTCCTCCAAATATAAATGAGGTTGCAAAAAGGCTAAAGGCAATCTAAGGAGAGGGGGAGCAGAGGGTCCTGGTAGACTAACCCCTGAGATTCTTAAGAACGATGGTCCGCTTTTAGCAGTCAAATCTGATGAAATCTTAGCCAGAAACTGGATGTAATCCAATACGACTAATTACGGTCACTGAAAGTCCCAATCTATAAGAAAGGACGAAAGTCCTCTTGTGACGATCACAGAAGAATCAGTTTGACTAACACAGTGTCAAAACACTAGTTCCAATAATAATTTAACAACTAACTAGAGCTAGTAAAGAGAAGATTCGAGAAAACCAGACTGCTTTCAGACCTGGACGTGGATGTATATACCAGACAGTCACACTTTGTCAGGTCCTAGAACGTTGACACACATTCAGACGCCCGACAATAGTTGCATTCCTCAACCTTAGGGTGGCATTTGACTCCGTCAACTGTCAGGAAAAGTGTACCAGGTATGGATAGCAAATGGATTGACAAGGTGGTACATCTTCATCAACTGATACGGCTCGGAAGTCTTACGTATGCCCAACCACCAACTAGGAGTAGGTTCATAAAAGCTAGAAGCGGCCAAATCAAAAAGCACACAGGACTGAGCCATGGTAATAGGTGCAGACTACCTGGTTGAGATCTGCGTGATAATCGTGACCAGTAGTTAGAGACTTTCAATGACATGGTTCATAACCATTCGCAACGACACAGATGCATCCTTTCTTTGTTTTCCCGCAAATTCTAACCTTCTAAATTCCTCATGACTTTTCTTCTCTTCTGAAACTTATGGATTATACTACTTGAAAGATATCTTCGATCCCTTGTCTTCTCCATTACAACTAATACTTGTACTTCTACCACTGTGGGAATTTAATGGATAATTTCATCTGTCTTTGCCAACATGGTATGGCGACTTGAATTGATTTACGTACGTACCAAGTTTTACGTTTAACTGAGTGACTGACTTACTGACCCATACTTGATTGTGTTAACTGGTAAATAACTGACATTCATAGTTAAATATTTTGCATATAATAGTGGTTTTATTATTCAAAATTTACTTAAGGGTGAATATGCAGTTGTTGTATCTTTTCAAATGTATTTCGTTCTCATCTGATCACCCGTACAAAGTGCTAACTCTCAATTTATCTAATTTTTTTAGGTATTTCGTTAACTCGCTTATCAAAATGATTCATTCATCACACAATAGAACCAGCATAAGCGGTAGTAGAAAGCATTAGGCATTAATAATATAATTCGATAAAAAAAATGAGTTCGCAGAACTCTAAGATAATTATAAGATAATTATAAAGTCAAGATCTAAAGGAAAACAAAGAGTGAACGCATCAGTGCCACTGCGACAAGTTATGAGCCATTCCACCCATACTTTACGATTAATGTAATCGGTTTTAAATACTAAGCCGAAGGTCTGAGTTAAGGCCTACATGCTTTGGTTTAGATAATGGGACTTTCAAACAAGTAAGGCTGCACGTCAAGCGCACAAGCTTGCACTTGGTAAGGTATGTCTTACGCAATTTATGGTACAGTGAACTCTATGGCACATAATGGTTTCAAAAATTCATGTTAATGGAGGCATAACTTTCAACATCTAAGCTTACAGAATCCCATGGTACTTTAAATAAGTGACGAGGAACTGGCTTGGCTCCTAATTTGGCCAAAAAACTTGTCCAATTAAATGGATGATAAGACTCTTCGAGATATTCCTTGGGTGGTTGAAGTTGACGATTGTTGTGTGCACACCATCCAACAGGAAACAAAAAAGGAGAGTCTATAGTTGTCCAGAAGTCATACTTCTCTGGATAACCAGCAAAATGAAGCTTGACACGCCGGCCTATCAACTCCGAAACACAGAGGACACAAATTAAGCTTTCATTATGAGGATCGATGCCCTCCAAATACTGACCAGGCTTGAAATTTCCTTCAGCGGTTACATTTTGTCCAGGAAGAATTGATGGCGATGGGATCTGGTTTAAAAGTAGTAAGAATGATAAAAATACATGAAAGCCATATAAGGAATCGGTTACCAATTAATACTTGCTGATTAGCTGAGCTGAACGATTAAGATTAGATGCTTATAAAGATAACAAATGATCTATTCCAATTTCAATAAATTTAAAGAGATGAATAAATCGATCATTGACTGAATAGAAATCAAATGGAAACCTATATACTGCAAACTCAGATTTTAAAATGTTAATGGTTTCAAAAGAACTAGTATATACAAAACGAAGACAACCGGAGATGATTCCACATCACCGAAATGAGTGAATGGTTTTTCAAGATAACATGTTGGAGAAAGGAAACAATAAGACTAACACACTTCAATACACCATATGTTTTCAAGGTGTAGGTAACCTTGATAAACTAGTCTTTTAGCTAAACAATGGTCCAAATCTGTAGCTGAACAGAAGTTTATTTACGACTTAAGAGGATATTAATGACTACATTACGTTTACCACATAGCTGAGGTACAACTAATGGGTGCTTATGCAGCCACACGTACGACATTTATATTTGAACAAAATAATGATTAACCGTTGTTTAATCGAATTAACAACTAAGACTACCAAAGTTTATATAGCATAGATAGAATGTTGCTAGCAGTAGAATTCAAGATGCACGTCCTGGCCTATTCGGGACTCGTCAGCTGGATGTACCTGCATCCCACAGTTGATATTCACTCCGGGAGTCGAACCCAGTACCGCAGTATTCACTTCGTCCAGTCCAGATAGCTACTCACATGAGCAACGGATATGAGACTTAATTCAACTTGAAATGGTTTAGATTATCCTGTTGTTATAATTTTAACAGAAATTCAATCGGAGCAATCAGTATAGAATGCCAATATACTAAGCAAAAGAGAACAAATTTCGGTTAAAATATCAACGATGGAATAATCTAGACAATTGCAAACTGAATTATAACAGCTTAAGCGGTTAGTAAAAAATAGCGACCCCGCATGTCTCAAGAAAAAACATCGATTTGTCTTTTCTTGGCAGTTTACTAATTAGATAACATGGAACTAAAGTATATAATGTGCCTTAGCTACGAAGGAAAAGCTAAGAGGCAGAGAAGTGTCAAATTATATATAAATATGCAGTTATGGAGTCGGTACTAAAAACAACAAAATATAATTAGCGAAGCGACCACTTAGAAAGCAGACACGGACTTGAACGATACCCTTTAAAACCACTAATTAAGACTGTTTGGCATTTCATAAAAACTATCAACATTATGTACAACTGATATATGACATACCTGCACTTCAAACGGGACATGAAAAAAAAGAGAAGACTGAACCGGTTCTGCACCGATTTCTTTAAGATATTGTGTCCACTCGAAAGGTCCGGCTTCTGTAAAACAACCAGGTAAATATTAAAACGATTTAGTTGCTAAATAGGAACATACAAATTTCATTGATAACTAGAATGAGTGGAACTATAACACATTCTAAATAATGTTTTCTCAGCATCAAATATCATCATCATCATCATCATCATCATCAAAAGTAACGTAGAACATTGCACGTAAGTACATCAGTTTGTTGCCATACCATGTCAGCACAGAGACATAACTGTCAATTCAAATCCCATAGTAGTAGAGGTAGTAAAAGTATTCGAAGTAATCGGAGATTAGGGTTCGAAGATGTTATTCAAGAAGTATAACTCAGTGAGGTAAATTTAGAAAGAGAAAGATAGAGGTGATGATTAATTCAGGTTGGAATTTCATAGAACACAAAAAGTAAATGCACCAGCGCCAGTGGAAACGGTTTTGAGCCATGTCATTCAAGGTCTCAAACCATCGATTATTATTATCTCGCCGACCCCAACGAGGTAGACTACATCTACCAACATGACTCAGTCCACTTGTCAGTGCCTACATGGATTTCTGCCATGTTTTGGTCTGGCCGTCGCTAGATTTCTTCCAACCTATTCCTATATCGCAAAACATACCTCGACGAGTCATTCGATAGTTAGGTATACGCAATACATGTCCATAAAGTAGAACGGAGCGAACCACTGCGCAGTACACTCGTCCTTTAGTCAGCAAAAGGATATCTCGCCTACGCCATAAGTGACGCAGGTTCGCAAAAGCCAATCGAGCCTTCTGTATCCGTGCTGAGATTTCGTCAGTCACCAGGCCATCGGCACTGATGAGACTCCCAAGATAAGTGAAGCGGTCTACACGTTCGACTACTTCACTCCCTATCACTAGTTCAGGTGCCGATGCAACCCAGTCTCGAAGTAACATTTTACATTTCGAGGGGGAAAACTGCATCCCGAACATGCTTGCATTGTTGCTTAGGGTAGTCAGAAGACTCTGCATCCCGAACATATGTAATTTAGTACGGGGTTTCAGGAGACCAGGAATATTGTTTCAAGAGCTCGTACCGTTTGCTTCGGTGCGTGAGGTGATAAACGATCGAAAGGGTTGGCCGAGGAGATAAGAGAGTTATTAAGAGGTGTAGAAAGGATTTCATTGTGACCAATTCGGTCCCGTTTGCTTTCATAGGTATGAGTACGGTTGTCACTTCCCGTCTGCGCACACCATGGAAGAGTTTTTCTTGAGGAACCTGAAAGTAGATTAGCGTTGGGGTTAACGACCTGGGAGCGTGACCGCAGGGTCCAAGGGACAACTGCTTCAGGCCGGTCTAGCAAAGGTTTTTTGAGTATTAGCTCCTCTCTTGAAAGCCCTTAGTGGGCACCCTTACCACCGGAGACGGAAATCTGTGAGGTAGGGTGAGGTGTGACATTTTTACGGTTGACCTTTTCTAACCCTTCCTTCCTTGTGAGAAGTCAGCAGCGCTGCAGATGTTGGTTGTCCGAGGGAAACACCTTACTGCTGTCACACCCCTCTGCAGTCAGCAGTACGACTTCACTCTCAGACCTTGAGTAGCTGCTTTTAGTCTCATCGTTCTCCAATCGACCTGGCTGGCATGGTAGAACCTTCAAGAACATGTTCCAACCAATATAGATCGGTTGAGGTCATCACGATAGGCAAGCCCGACCACCACATCAATGTAGCAGCTACTATTTTATCAATAGGATTTACCAACATTTAACGCAAACTCATCACATATAGCTCTCAAAAGTCAAGCGCCACTTTAAGGTCAAGGGATGTATCTGTGTTCCAGGACATGACGAAGTGTGACTATCTGGTATATACATCCATGTCCAGGACTGAAACCAGCCTGTTTTTCTCGAGTCTGCTCTTCACGAGCTCTCAGTCAGTCAGTCAGATGCAACGTAGAACTTTGTACATAAGTACATCAGTTCATGTTGCCATACCACATCAGCACAGAGATATAATTGTCAATTCAAATCCAATAGTAGAAGAGGTAGTAAGGGAATTAGAAGTAATCGGAGAGGTTAGGATTAGAAGATACTATTCAAGAAGTATGATTCAGTGAGAAAAGTTTAGAGAGTCGAAACTAGAGGGGTTGAAGAATCCAGAAGATTAGCATTTGAGAGAACACAAAGAATAAATGCACCGGCGCCATTGCGAACGATTTTGAGCCATGTCATTCAAGGTCTCTAACCATCGATTATTATCATCTAGCGGACCCCAACCAGGTAGTCGACAATTACCGACATGGCTCAGTCCACTAGTCAATGACTTCATGGATTTCTGCCATGTTTTGGTTTTGCCCCCCCCTAAACTTTCTTCCAACCTACTCCTACACCACAAAACAAAGCTCGTCGAGGCAGTCGGTGGTTAGGCATACGCAACACATGTCCCAACCACCTCAACTGGTGAAGTTTCAATACTGCATCGATTGATCTGCCATTCTTACCTAGCACCCGTTTCCTAATAACAGCGTTGCTCACTCGGGTGTCCCACGATACACGAGCAATGCTTTGAAAGACACCTATGATCGAGAACCAGTAACCTACGAATATCTTCTACTCTCACTGGCCATGTTTCACAGCCATAAAGTAAGACGGAGCGAACCACTGCGCAGTACACTCGTCCTTTAGTCAGCAAAAGGATATCTCGCCTACGCCATAAGTGACGCAGGTTCGCAAAAGCCAATCGAGCCTTCTGTATCCGTGCTGAGATTTCGTCAGTCACCAGGCCATCGGCACTGATGAGACTCCCAAGATAAGTGAAGCGGTCTACACGTTCGACTACTTCACTCCCTATCACTAGTTCAGGTGCCAATGCAACCCAGTCTTGAAGCAACATTTTACATTTCGAGGGGGAAAACCGCATCCCGAACATGCTTGCATTGTTGCTTAGGGTAGTCAGAAGACTCTGCATTTTGTCAGTATCTTCACCAAGTAGGACTATGTCATCGGCATATTCTAAGTCAATAAGCGAGCCACCTGGTAGAAGGTCTACTCCTGAATATTCAGACAAGGATAAGGTTATTTCTAGGAGCATATCTATGATAAAGTTAAACAAGAATGGAGAAAGTGGACATCCCTGACGAACACCACTTGAAGTATTCAATCCCGATGACAGTTCGCCATAAGCTCTTACTCGACCAGTAGTGTTCGAGTAGAGGGCTTGTATAAGGTTAATGTACTTCTTTGGTACACCTTTCAATGACAGACACTGCCACAGAACCTCACGATCAACAGAGTCAAATGCCGCCTTAAGGTCTAGGAAAACAACTATTGTAGGACGCCTAAATGTGTGTCTATGTTCCAGGACCTGTCTGAGTGTGAAGACGTGGTCTATACAACCACGTCCAGGTCGAAAACCAGATTGGTTTTCTCGAGTCTGCTCTTCACGAGCTTTCGTTAAGCGTCGAAGTATTATTGAGGCCAATATTTTAGATACTATATTAGTTAGACTTATTCCCCTGTGATTGTCACAAGAAGACTTGTGTCCTTTCTTATAGATTGGGACAATCAAGGATTGAGACCAGTCAGATGGGATTGTGTCCAGTTCCCAGATTCTACCTAAGATCTCAGTCAACCTAGTTGCTAAAACTCGACCACCATCCTTAAATATCTCAGGGGTCAGTCTATCAGGACCTGCAGCTAGTCCTCGTTTCAGATTTCCTAACGCTTTCTCAACGTCATTAAGACTAGGGGGACTTAGGTCGATTTGCCATTCAGGATGACTGGAGATCGTGGGTAACCGAAGAGTGGCTCGTGGCCAGTTGAACTGATCCCTAAAGTGTTCAGCCCATCGATCCAGTCTCCTCGATTGAGAATGGATAATAAGACCATACTTTTCCGAGATAGTCTCACTCACATTCGGGTTCCCAATACCAGTTTCTTTAATAAGGCGGAAAAGTTGTCTACTGTTGCCGATCGCCGCTGCCTTTTCCATCGCTTTTGCTCTCGCCAACCACCACTGTTCGCGGTCGTTACGCAGAATTTTTATAAGTCTGCGCCTAAGCTGACTACGCTCTTCATCATGCTCAGAGTCAGGTGGGATGCGTTTTCGAGCATCCATCAGTTCGGTGGATGCCACTGAAATCCACGGCTTCATCCTAGCCTCATGGTTTACCTTCCTAGCAGATATCACTGCTGTTTCCACAGCCTTCTTGATATGATTCCAACCTGCTTCAGGATGGGAATCACTTGCATGGCCGCCTAACTGTTTTTCTAGTTCCTCCTGAAATATTTTCTTAGCTTGATTATCATCAAGTAAAGCCCTAAGAGGCTTCCTTACGGTGTCTTTCCTACGTCCAGTAAGCCTCAAACAGATACGAGCTCGCACTAGAGCATGATCTGAATCCAAACATGTGCCCCAGAACGAGCGACAGTCCTCTATCGAACCCCTCCATCGGTGGCTGATGGCGATATGATCTAGTTGTGTCCAACGTTGAGACGACTTCGGGGGTCGCCAGGTCAAAAGGTGTTTTTCCTTATGCTTAAAATTAGTGTTTGCTAGAAATAGTTGGTTATCTGAGCACAGTTGCAACAGGCGGTCGCCATTGTCTGTTCTTTGAGCCGCGAGACCGTAACAACCACCTAGGTGTCTTTCCTGATCACTCAGTCTACCTGCTTGAGCATTGAATTCACCAGCCATTATAACTATATCAGAGCGCCTAGCTTTTTGGAGGAGGTCCGAAAGCTTTCAGTAAAACTCATCTTTAACTTCGTCTGAACTGCAGTCAGTGGGGGCATAGGCAGATATGACGAAGAGGCAACGGCGAGTGTCCCTATCCTTACGAGTCCTTACTGTCCCGTTTAGTTGGACAGCGCACAAACGACTATCTACTGGGATCCAGTCTAGGAGAGATAATTCTGCCCTAGGACTCAACGCTATGCCTACGCCAGCAAGACCCCTGGAAGCAGCATCAGGGCTACCGGATACACGAAGAGTAAATCAAGCTGCTTCTTCGTTTTGACAAGGTGGAATCAGGTTAATGACTTTACTAGGATCCTGTATG